GACATAAACTATGCAATGTCCATCATGTTCATGAAGTCCTACATTTAGAATGAAGATATTAGTTTATTACAGCATAATAATATACCCTAGCATAGTATCTACCATTCTTTCAATTCTTTCATTAAAGGGGTACCTGAGGTCACCCCCCCCCCCCCAAAAAAAAAAAAAAAAAAAAAAAAAAAAACAACAAAACAACAACAACAAATATAACCCATTTAACTTAAGTTAACTCAGGCCACCTTAACAAATACATGTCATAAACTATGTCATGTCGTCCTACATTTAAAATGAAGATTAGTTTATTACAGCATAGTTATATACCTTAGCATAGGATCTACTATTATTTCATTACAAGGGTATCTGAGGTCACCCCAAAAAAAACCCAACAAATACAACCCATTCAACTCAAGTTAATTCAGGTCACCTTAGAAAATACATGCCATAAACTATGCAATGTCCATCATTTCACGAATTCCTACATAATTAGTTTAGTACAGCATAATTATATACCTAGTATTGTATATTTTATTTCTCATTACAGGGGTACCTGAGGTCACAAAAAAAAACCCAACGAATATAACCCATTTAACTAAAGTTAACTCAGTTCACATTATCAAATACATGACATAAACTATGCATGCAATGTCTATCATGTTCATGAAGTCCTACATTTAGAATGAAGATTTTAAATTTTTTTACAGCATAATTATATACCCTAGCATAGTATCTACCATTCTTTCATTACAAGGGTATCTGACCTAGGCTGAGGTCACCTAAAAAAAAAAACCCAACAAATATAACCCATTTAACTCAAGTTACCTCAGGTCACTTTAACAAATACATGACATAAACTATGCAATGTCCATCATGTTCACGAATTCCTACATTTAGATTGAAGAAATTAGTTTATTACAGCATAATTATATACGTTAGGATTGTATCTTTTATTTTTTTAAGGATCTCATGCGTACTGTCACAGTGTAAATAGAAATTAGAATAATGTATTTTTAGTTTATTCTATTTTTAGATCATATTATTACTACCGCATATTGGGAACTATTTGCAAGATACCTCAGGTCCTACATCAACGGACCTTTAACCACCTGCGTTTTGTTTTCAGCCTTTGCGGCCATCTTGGTTGATGGGCGAGGTCATCGAATACATTTTTTAAATAAGATATCCTAAGGATGATTTAGGCCAAGTTTTGTTTAATTTGGCCTAGTAGTTTAAGAGGAGAAGATTTTTGTTAAAAATTACAAATTTTACGAAAAATTATGTAAAATTGACTTTTAAGGGCAATAACTCCTTATTGGGTCAATTGACAATTTTGATCATGTTGACTTATTTGTATTTCTTTCTTTTCTTAACATTTTTGCTGTTTACCGTTTATCTCTATATCATAATATTTAAGATAATAACCAAAAACTGCAAAATTTCCTTAGAATTACCAATTCAGGGGCAGCAACCTAACAACGCGTTGTCTGATCCGTCTGAAAATTTCAGGGCAGATAGGTTTTGACCTGATGAATATTTTTACTTGAGTCTTATGCTTTAGTTTCAGAGATATAAACCAAAAACTGCATTTTACCCCCATTTTATATTTTTAGCCATGGCAGCCATCATGGTTGATGAGCGGAGTCATCGGATACAATTTTAAACTAGATACCCTAAGGATAATTTAGGCCAAGTTTGGTCTAATTTGGCCCAGTGGTTTCAGAGAAGAAGATATTTGTAAAAAGTTAATAAAGTCGACGGACGTCAATTGATGAGAAAAGCTCACTTAGCTCTATAGTCCAGGTGAGCCAAAATTGCAAAACGGACCGGAAGCAACGGACAAAAAGCAAAAGTGTCGGACTAAAAGCAAAAATATCGGACAAAAAGCAAAACGGACCGAATGCAACGGACAAAAAGCAAAAGAGTCAGACGAAAAAAAAATATCGGACATAAAACAAAACGGACCGAAGGCAACGGGCAAAAAGCAAAAGTTTTGGACAAAAAGCAAAAGTTTTGGACAAAAAGCAAATTATCGGACAAAAAGCAAAACCGAACAAAAATTAAATGTCGGACAAAAAGCAACGTATCATGCATTTCTCTGTGCTAAGTGTTCTTGTGTTAGCTTGTACTGTATTCCTGTTACGTACAGTGTTGTCTTTTTAGCGATACTTTTTAACATCGCCATATAAGCGGGAGGTTTGGCTAGCCATTAAACCAGTTTCAACCCACCATTTTTTCTTAAAATGTCATGTACCAAGTCAGAAATATGGCAGTTGTTATCAAATAGTCCGTTTTTATGTATGTTGGCGTTTGTTTTTGTTGCACTTCAGTTTTTCTGCTGTTCCGTTGTTTTCCTCTTACAATTGATGTGTTTCCCTCGGTTTCAGTTTGTAACCCGGATTTGTTTTCTCTCAATTGATTTATGACTATTGAACAGCGGTGTACCACTGTTGCCTTTGTTATACAAACAATGGAACGACTTACTTATCAATAAACTTTTATAAAGGAGAGTGATCTTAGCTTCATCATCCCTATTCAGACTTATATTTCATTAATGAACTAAAACAGATATTGCCTACATGTCTTATTTCCATAAATGCATGTCTGAATTTGTATTGCCTCTTTCTCGTCAATCAGTATAGTTGTTTCTTATTCAATTATTGATTTGAATTACGTCTTTTTCTGAAATTATGTATAATGTACCTATATATATATATATATATATATATATATATATATATATATATTGGAAAATGTTGTTTGTGCTGTATTTAGACCCCCCTACCAAGAAATTTGTTTTGCATGCTCACGTATAAAAATTGCGGTTTTTTTCTAACGCAATCATAGGTTTGAACGTTGTTTTCAATTTAGACTCGTTTATATATATATATATTACGTCCAATTGTCTATGGGTGAAACCCTTTCTGATAGATATGTTCTCGTCGTACAAAAATAAGTAGTGGCCTTATAATTATGTTGCAATGATAGATTATTTTGGTTTTATTTTTAGATAAATGACGGTTGCACAACATTCAAGACACATTAGACAGCTGCATGCAAATTGAAACAAACATTACAAAAAATATAAAAATTCCAGTTTTTTCAAGGAGCAGTATGAAACTAAAAAGAACCGATACTAAAAAAAGCACATATGGAATATTATGCGACTTTCATACAAGTGAGAGGTTTAGCTAGCTATAAAACCAGGTTCAATCCACCTTTTTCTACATAGGAAAATGCCTGTAACAAGTCAGGAATATGACAGTTGTTTTCCATTCGTTTGATGTGTAAGAGCATTTGATTTTGGACTTTCCGATTTGAATTTTCCTCGGAGTTTGTTATTTTACTTTTTAAACATTCTCAGCTGAACAAATTTTGTTGTTTTGAGAAAGACTTAAGTTACATCTTTTATTGAATAAGACACGTAGAGTTCCAAAGTTTATATATATTCGAATAATGTTTTGTCTATTAAATACCGTTGTCCCGTGTTGTGGCTATATATAGAAAAGTTTACGCTAGCTTAGGAAACAATTGATTTCGTAGTACTAATATCTGTGTTTGTGAAAATTGTAAAATGAATTAGATGATAGTTTATCATTATATAATTCATCAAAATCAATACGTTAAAAATGTTAGTGAGGGTCAAGATAGGAAATAAACTTGACGACAGAATAGATGATTTCAATTTTCAACTTGTGAATTTTCGATTCTATTTAGCAACGTTCCAACAGCGCCTATTAATGATTTTTGTTTTCAATTTGTGAGCTTTCAATTCAATTCTATTTAGCAACATTCCAGCAGCGCCTGTATATGAAATATGTTTATCCCATGTTATAAGATAACGCATGCCTTGTGTTTTCTATCATATTTTCCTCGGTAAATGGTTAGTGCTAACAAAAACAATTATCATTATAGTTATAATTTCAAAACGGTAAATGTGAAGTTATCCTGAGAACGCTTAACGGGCGCCCTACACAGATGTTTAATTGCATGTAATACAATGTGTTCATAAGACGACGGGATGTTACCACGATAACGTCCCCTTTTCCCTTTTCCCTTGTGACATTACGGAATGCGGCTTCTATAACACTGATTTCTACTTTCAAAAAGTAACACGATGGTGCCCAGAACAAAAATTTGCTTTCTTTTCGGGTGCAGTGGTTTTCATTTGGAGATCGTGTCAGACTTAAGCTTTTGATATTATATTTTGTTATTGTTGTTTGGATTTTCTTCGTAGACATGTTATTAGTATATTAACAGACTGTAACATTTGTATATTCGTCTCACTTAAGATTCACGATTGAAATTTGGTCAATCTTGCATAAAAATTTTAATGATCGTGGATGTTTTCATTATTGAAATGATAACAAATAGTGATAACCGTTCAGTGCCAAACCAAATGTATACATTTTATAAGTGCTAGTATGTCTTGACGTGAAATAAAATTACTTTCTACCACCCCGGCGGGTTAAAATGAATATTTAACTTGCTAGGAAGTAGTGTTGTTGAATTGTAACACGTATTTCATTAACATATATATTTTTTTAATAAACGGTATACTGGCCGTTTACCGATGTTTAAATCTTGTACATCGGGTAAAAATATACCATTAAAGAATATACAATATCTTAGGGGAATCAGATGAAATCATAATTTATTGGACAAAATCTTCATAAAACCCACCCAACCAAAAACTTGGGTGTAAATTCATGTGTGTCGGACGGGTAGTCAGTCAAATACTAGCACATGTATATAATATTATGAATATTGTTGGTCTATATTGTAATAAGTAGAAATAAGAAGATGTGATGGATATAAGAAGAGGTGGTATGAGTGCCAATGAGACAATTCTCCATCCAAGTCACAATATGTAAAAAGTAAACAATTATAGGTCAAATTACGGCCTTCAACACGGAAACTTGGCTCACACCAAACAGCAAGCTATGAAACGCCCGAAAATGACTAGTGTAAAACAAAACAAAACTACTGTAGACTTTTATTAATTAGCAGCTGGTATTAATTTTAGGACGCTGAAAAAGAATAAAGTACATGTATAAAAATGTCAGATGAAAGCATTATGTTATTTGCTACGCTTTTGTAAATTTTAAGAAAACAAAAATATGGGATTCGTTATATTACAGAAGCACTGTAAATGAAAATAGCATTTTATAGATTTGGTGCGTCTAAAGCGCTTTTAAAGTAACACCGGGAACGCTTAACCAACAATTTCTGAAGCCAAGGAAGTCCAAATACTTAACTATTATGTCTTGAGGAGCTAGTTGATTACAAATACATAAAAAGAAATGCCAGAACCATTTAAGGTAAAAAAACATTCCTGTTAAGGTTCAAATCTTAGTTTAAAATGTATTCATCGATAATATAAGTAAAAATGAGTTGTGCCTGTCAATTTGAAGAGCCTTGTCATTCTTTTTGGTTTCTGTTGGTTGCTGTTGGTCATATTTTTTGTGTCTATTGTTTAAGCACATGTCAGACCGTTATTTTTAATCATTTAAATTTTCCCACAGTTAACCTTGCTTACTATACGCTTTGGGTTTTGCTAATTGTTAAAGTTGACCTTAATTTGCTGACACAAATGTAATTTTGTCTCTGGTTGATAATTGTCTCATTTGCAATCATGCCACATCTGATTTTTGTTTTAAACCATACCAGGACCACAGCAATGCATACTGAGGAGTCTATCAGAAGTGATTTTGATATAAAACCAGCTAAAACCAACCGTTTCCCTCAGGAAAATGATTGTACTAAGTCAATATATGGCAGTTGTTTTTCATTTGTTCCGTTTATTGATTTTGTCAGTTTTTATGGACTGCCCCCTTTTTGAATTTGCCTTGGAGTTGCACCGATATCAATAAATGTACATACGTTGAACAGGCTGGTCCGCAGAAAGTTGCTACAAATCCGTGAACAAGGTTTTGGCACTCAGTTTCACAGGCACCTTGTGCCATTCCTGAATGGGCAAACTGTTCGACCTCTTGAACTACTTTGTCAAGTCCGAAGGTGTCCACTGTAAATAAATAAAAGATTATGAAAAATATTAGTTTTAAATTTCATACAAGAAAAATGAGAGTTTAAAGTGAACTGCATAGCTGTCTTTTTATTATTATTATTCTGCGGTTATTAAAGCATAAACATCTTAACTGTCTTGTACTGGTAATGTTTCTTAATCGATGTTTTAATCACTAAGTAAAAAACGTTATCATTTTCCCATCACATAATATAGATTTGAATACTGATGATTAAGGATTTTTAAATTTATTCGAATCGTTTTCCCAGCGTTGAAAATCTTGCTGCCTACGAAGATCAGAAGACACATTGTCAGAGGACACGAATTTCTCAACACGATACTTAATCTTGCAAAGCCTTTTCCAGGCAGTGACAATTTTCAACATAATTTTTTCTTCTTCTGCTATTCTTTGTTTATCTGACCGTATTACCAATATTGTTTTTTTTTCTTTTGATGTGATTTTTTATGCACACACATTTGTGTATAACTACGTGAGCGGCTTCTTTTTACGTTACCAAAAAGCCGCAGGTTGCCTGTCGTCAAGATTCATTTCTAGGTAACAGCAGACCACCTTGTTTTAGCGGATTGACTAGAGTTCCTTGTATGAATAAATATCACATTGGCCACTGACACAAAGTTTGTGTGTTTGTTTTATTATTTTCTACACAATAATACAATTTAAAATGTCAAGGTCGACACTTTGATACCAACGGAGATCAATATATTTTTGTTTATAATGGATGCATGTTTTAACCAATTCAATTGTAAACAAATGTCAACATGATATAAACTACAATATTTGACAAATATCTGCGATTAAATATATCAGTATTAATATTTGTACATGTGCTTGTTCATTGAAAAACCAGAAACAATGATTTGGATTTAATCAACAAAAGCCAGGTGTAAATTGTAGGATAAAAACAATATATGCATTGTCGGACATGTATTTGTACTCGCTACAAAACAGGTGAAAAGCTCCGCGAGCCACGCTTTTTTGTCCTGTTTCTAATGCTCGGACAAATAAATTTTATAGTTTCCGACAATGTGCATATATTGTTTGTTTATTCACAAATTCTTAAAAAAGTACATAACAAAAGTTTACTTTATCACATATAGTTTTATGATACCATTCTTTTATATTGCTGATATGACATGCATCGGAGAGCACTTAGTATACCATCGGGTTTGTACAGGGACTTATATAAGCCTTGTAAGGAAATTCGCCCCAACCCTCGATAAATGTTCAGAGTCAATTACAATGTGAATGATAACCTGAAACTACCCTCCTGCTTTAAAAACTTTATAAACAGTGCAGCGTTTGGATACATTAGAATGGCTAAGATATCATCAAAATTAAGCTCAGTATGGTGACATCAGTTATAGATATGAAACATCTTTGTTGACCGAAAAAAAAAAAACAAACACCAAAGATATGTGGCCTAACATCGGAGTAGGGATCTGTAGTTATTATCTATTTATTATTGAACGTAATGTTAACAGTTTTATTACAACGCAAAACTTGCAAATTTGAAAAAAAAACAAGATTTATTCTATTTCATCATTTTTTTCCCACAGGCTTAACATGTAATGTAATAAATAAATCATTATAAATAAATTAAAGTATGGCATTTTCAATATATACCCTTGTATCATCCCTATACCCATTTAAAGAACTTGAGCTGCAGCCTTTGGTTCGATATCGGAGTTTTGGGGTTGATGCTAGGACTGCTATTGTAAACGTCGGTAAACGTCGATATTACTTTATCTATATGTTTTGCCTATATTCTAAAATCGGTTTCGTCAATAATTCCCTAGTTACCATGGTTAAAGAAATCCCATACATTAAATATGAATTTTGTTTTCATGTAGTTAAGAGTATACTTGTTTTTTAAATGTTGTGCATGTTTTAATGAATGCATTCGAAACGTATCTCTCAGTTATTTACCATAGTGAGAATTTATAAAAGGAATATCATACTTTAAATGGTCGCATAGCAACGCAAATTTGTTTTTCTCAATTATCAATTACTTTGTGACCCATATAGTCAAACAAGCCTAATGGTTTTTTGATAATATCTGAGACAAATATATTAGAAAAAAATACACAAGAAAAAATATAGTATAAGCAAGTCCAAATAACATGTATAGGTCAATTTCCAAAACGCATAAAATTAAAAACAGGTAAACTTATGAAACAAAAAAATATTGCAATACGAATCTCGCATTTGAACATCATAAAGTTTTACTAAATTTTATTAATGACTATTTTTTAAAATATAACATACAGTCTTTTACAAATTGATGTGATGCTGATGAAATTAACGTAATAGACGTATGAAGGGTATCTTTTATTTTGGGTCGCAACATATTTTTCGATAATGGGTTAGTGGAGTAATTAGTCAGGTAAACAAAAGAAATTCCTATTCGGAACATGTAACATGTTCCAACATCAGTTACAAATGCGTTAATCTTTGTCTACGTACGTTAGATATATATTTCTTTTATATACTTAGTAGTAAATACATGTGAATTGTATATGTAATACGACCAATGGCAATCGTGCTGTATCAGCCATCCGTGATGATATCGATATGAGTCACGGTTGCAAAAGCTTTATCACAACCTAATTCTGTATGACGTCACGTCATCGACATCAGTCATCGTTGCAAAGGCTTTATTAAATCCCTAATCTGTATGACGTCACGTCACATGAAAAAAACACATCATCTTGAAATATATAATTAAGTGTATATGATATAGCTTTTTCAATATCACACACCGTATCAATCCCCAGCAAATATACTCCCTCGAGCAGAGCTCTTGTGATTATATTGGTGTCTCGAATTGATACGGATGTGATATTGAAAAAGCCATATAATATTTTCTATTTATGAGCGCTTACAGTGTTATGTCCTTTCGTTGACGATGCCCAATTATACAACATCATCGACTCTCAAACAAAAATAACAACTTGCTGTTATTGTCGTAGTTAAACTTACAAACGAATCTTTCCTGTGGAGCACAGAACACAATTGGCAACAAAACCAGTAGAGCAAACAGGTATTTCATTTTGAACTACAAAACAAATTATAACTGATAACAATTTCTTCCGTAATGCATTCTGGGAACACAAATACATGAAGTGCATTCATTTATGCAAATGAAAAGAATAGCATCTGCGCTTTCTCAATAAAATTTTCTCAGTGCCTTTCAACTACATTTGGTAGATTAATATTAAAACACTTCATTAGCTCTAACACATAATAAATTGGGTTAAGGATATTTTGAATTTAGTTTTGTATTTTCAGCCTTTATTTTTTTCAACTTGAATAATACACTATTAACAGAAAGATTGGTGTCCATTTTTTTTTTTTAAATCTAGGTTTCCCTCTACATGCTCATTACTAAATAACACATAAAGAAATAAATAGGAAAGGTATATGAAATGAATTTGCAAGTACTATTTTATCCACATTAGAAACTATATTTGATTACTGTATATGTGTTCCCTGATAAATCATTTTGTATATTTGTATTTTTCTGAAATAAATTGTCAAGTATTTTGCCAGTAAAACTATACCAATAACATAAACAAACACACTTAAGGTTTCGTCAAGTCGTTTGAAAATTTTGCAGACAACAGTGTCAGCAAATATTCATACTTCTAAATCTATGGATTTTCTGAACGTCAAAATCAATCTTGAAACGGGCATTGATTTTGTATTTTCTTTCTATTTGTTGTTTCAATAAGAATTACATAAAAAGTTGAGGAACGTTAATACTATTGAGTTATTTATTGTTATTCGTTATCAAAATTGAAATCAATTTACTGCTTATGACAAGAAATTACTAAAAGAACATTAGATTACCGAACCTCAAATATCGTTAACTCATTGAAAGATAAGATGACCAAAAATTTTCAAAAGATCAAAAACAATTATAAAACTAAAAATTGAAATATCCAACTGAAAGTCTGATTTTATGCTATCAGTAACAGATTTGCACAAATTCTATTCGCGTTACAAATTTTGTTGAAACAGTTCGGCACATCTTTACGGAATTGTTTGCCTCGAACAGTTCTCATTCAAGCAACGCATAAATAAGCATGTGAACGAGGCGCGCGTCTGTATTGCAGGATTATAGACTTTTAGAATAACAAGTTTTTAATATATCCTTAGTATGTTCCTCCTTTTATTATCATATATATACGATGCTTTTGATATAGAATGTTTATTGTTGCGCTCAGTTCAAAACAAGTTCAAGGCAAAATCCGTCAGTAGAAACATTTAAAAGAGTAGTGCGAAAATCTTATATATTTTTTCCCATGTTTAAAAAAAAACCTCTGTGTTTCGAGTGATTTAAAAAAATAAATATATAAACAGTAAACTACTTTACCGGTTTATGACTTGTCCTATCTGATCAGAATAATAATGTTCGTGAGATCTTTCTTTCTTATATATAATGAGGTGCGTTCTAAATAAATTTTAATCTTAGCACGAACTGTATGAGAACACACATCTGTATTAGTAGTAATTGGGACATAATTTGCACGATTCTAGACCATTTGTAGGTAATCTATGTATTTCGAATCAAATATACATTTTGTTTGAGCTAGCATGAAACATCTAGGATGGAATCGAGATATGCCCCTTTTCAAACCTACACGTTCATAGAGGAATTTGCTTCTTTTTAGTGCAACCGTTTTATTGGATACTTGTCCTTATTGATTGTGTTTTATGGAATGATTTATTGATGTTTTGTGAAACCTACATTAAGGTTTGAACATTTTTATCAGTAATTAAAAATTAAACTCAATATACAAAACAGTATTAAAATTATGTACGCCAGATGTGCGTTTCGTCTGCAATAGACTCACCAGTGACGTTCGAATCAACAAAGTTAAAAAGGACAAAGTTGATGAGCTAAGTTTAAGAGAAATATTTTCTTTCCAACATATTTACCATAGCATGGATTTGTTTGTATAGACAATATGATTTTACATGTCGAACAAAATATTCATTAGTAGTTACAGGAGTTCAAACAGTGTTTGGCTAGTTTATCTGCTTTTAATACACATTAATATGAAATAGAATATTGTCGCTATGTAATGTTTCATTTTTAAACGTCATAATACCATGAAAAGTAAGGCTCGGTCGTGAAAAAAAAATGTACGTACATAATTCATTATTTTTTTTTTTATGTTTTGTTTTTACTAGTTTTTTGTTCTTGAGTTTATGTTATAATTATCGATAATCCCCGAGTTACTGACGCTTCATACAACAAAGCATTTGATTATAAATAAACCCATCTGTAAACATTTATCCTGTTTGTGCATTCGTATGCGATACAGGCTTTGAAATTGTCGATTTCACCATTATTCATTATCTACGTATTCAATTTGGTAAAAGGGAGGTTTAATTTGAAGGACTGGGTTTATTATGTGCAAAATATGGCCTTAAATTTCAACTGTATCAGAAAATATCAAAAGGTCCACAGTTTTGGTCTTAAATGGATATATTTTAAAAGCCTAAATTCAAAGTAAATTAAATATCTTTATAATAGTACCTTATTGGCTTCAAAGTCAGCATTTTTTTAGAGATATTGTTAAAATGCGATGATTTTTGCATTTTTCAGATTTGGCCGTAATTCAAAACATTCTGTAACAAAATGTGACACAATGTTATTATTGAACAACTAGACACAAAACACATTCTAATTCGTGGTTGGCGATCAAGAGAAATTGTGCTATAAATTGTTATAAATTATGACAAAATGGCCAAAACAAACGTTACAACTCAAATCATGTATACTGATGGTCATAACTTCATACCATAATTTATAATTTGAGGTGGAAACATAATTTGTTTTAGTATGAATAGTTATATAACAACTAATCATATGTGAAATGTGCAGTAATTTTGTTTGATTTAAAAAACCTAAAACTCTAAAGACCGATTTAAGTCCGTAGAAAACCTACTCCTTTGCGATATAGGTCGTGTTGACAACTAATGTAGTCTTTTGAATTTCTATTATCTCAAGTAACGAATCTCCCGATAAAAATAGTGGAACCTTCTGTTGAAAAGCCCGTAGAATTATTTTCTTGATATCCTAGTAGAGCATTCACCTCAATATTTGGAGGAAGTTGGTTTATTATCTTGATCGGTCAAATGAAATAGAATTAGGAAGTAGACGTAAAGATTGGTTTACTTTGATACAGGATAATCATACATGTCCAAGACTAATACAGATATCGACATCCATGATGACTTGAGATAATCAAATTAAAAAAAGACATAACAAGTGGGATAAAATTATGACCGAATATAAGGATTGCTATCGGTTGAGATTTTAATCATTTTCAGTGTCTATTGTATTTATACAAGACAATCCAGTTGTCACCTTTTCTAAATGATTTTTATATTTTGTATTGATGTGTTGATGCTACACCACCGACCTAGATTAAAGGGAAGGGATAAGCGCTCATGAAAATGTTAAACCCCACCACATTCTCAATGTGACTGACTGTAAGCTGGAGCTCTTTCTTTCAGAAGATGTAGTTAGTTGCTGTTTGCCATGTTTGATTTCCATTAATCATTTATATTTAAATCAGAATTGTTTTCCCCTTTTGAAGTATTATACATTTTGTTATATAAAAACAAGGAGATGATGTATGATTGCCAATTAGACAACTGTCCACCATAAGTTCAAAGTGGATGTAAGCAAGTATAGGCAACCGTACGGCCTTCAACAATGAGAAAACCCATACCGTCAAGTCGGCTATAAAAGGCCCCGACATAAAAAATATGAAACAATTTAATTGAGAAAACTAACGGCCTAATTCATAACAAACCAATTTTCGAAAAACAAATATGACAGACAAGAACCAACGACAACTACTAAGCTACAGGCTCCTGACTTGGGACAGGCACATAAAGAATGTGGCGGATTTAAATATATAACATCACCCCCTCATCCTTAACAACAAAAAGGACACTAAGTACAGATCTGAGAGTAGTCGCAGTTACTGACAGCTAGTTCAACGCCAATAACAACTTATAAAAAAAAATCATGTATCTAAGACTAAAATATTAATCAGTACACATGCAACACACATGTTATGACGGTAATAGTGTTATTAACATCCTCATCCTATTTGTGTCTGGTGGTTTGTTGTCTCAACATCATTACCGTATCATCAATATCGATAACTATATCTGATAAATATAGTGTTATTTCATTGAAAGAACAAATCAGTTGAGAAAACATTTAGAAGTCTCAAAAGAAATCAAGAATGAAGTTTAGCTGAGGATGTCGAATCAACATCGACGGCTATAGTTGTTTTCGCTGCGACACATTTAGCAAAAGGTGCACATTGATATTGGTTCGATATCGTCGATGTCGTCGAGATCGAACCAACATCTTGTCCTGGACATACCTCCGACAAATATGCTTTAAAAAGAACATAATACTATATTTTACAGAGGGCTGTTACCTTGTAACATCAAATAACGTCATTATGCAAAATTTGAGTCAACCATTCATTCCATTAGTGATCAAGAATAAAACGTATTCGGAAAATGTAAAAATAAGGTTGATGTACCCGAGAAATAAATTTAATTTGGACCATGATTATTGATAGAACAACCATCTGGATGTTAAACAATCAGCAATCCATCGATAAAACAACACTTTTTTCCAAACAATATTAATATCAAGACTGACCTGACATCAAATGATGCCGCACTCTTTAATACCGATTCATGTATTTTTCTTTTAGGAAACATATTCCGGTATAAGAAATAATTGTACATTAAGCCTTATCATATCAAGATACGGAGAGGTCATAATAAGACGGACCCGAAACACATCAAAATCGCCTTAAAATTCAACATATTTTGAATAAGGAACTTTTAGTTAAAAGGATACAAACGCAAACGTTACATTCAAAAGGGTATTTAAAGTTTAAATTTCAAATCATGGGTTATTATTACAAAACACTGCACAAATGCTAAAAGACGCAATCGAGCAAGAAATAATGTCTTCAAAACAAAATGTCTACAGAAAACTCAAATTGAGGAGCAATCACCACAACAAACATATTCTCTGTTTTTTTGGGGTTTTTTTTTTTTTTTTTTTTGGTTTTGTAAGTGTTTCAAGGTCCTTTATTTAACCGTGATATTCAACAGTATACCATCGGTTTTTATCTCCATATAAACAAGTCAAAAACAATTGTTCACTTGTATTCAACATATCATGTTAGTTTCCTACTTCAGCAAGTTGAGGACACTGAAAAGAAGAAAAACATCATTTTACAGAAGTATACCATTTTAAATGATATATTATAATGATTTCATAAAAGTGTACAAATTTTACGACGACAGAAATCGTTACATTACTACATAAACGACTGTGAAATTATATTTTGCTAATTCCTTTTAAACATATTATTTGCCGTGTATAAAATAAAAGAAATTTCATCAAAGATGACAAGCTTTTAATTTGGCACTGCAGACGCGCTAAAAGTCTGCTCAAGATTCATCAGTGACGCTCGAACGAAAACAGGTAGAGGGCCAAATGAAATACAAAGTTAAAGAACATTTAAAATTGATAGTTCCGAAAATAAATGACAAATATAACCAAGTAAGTGTATTTCGAATAATTCATGTTGAACATAATAAACCATGATGAATTAATATTAATAATTGACATACGTTGTACAGGCTGGTCCGCAGAAAGTTGCCAAGAATCCGTGAACAAGATTTTGGCATTCAGTTGTGCAGGCAGTTCCCGCCATTCCTGAATGGGCAAACTGTTTGACTTGTTCTACTACTTTATCAAGTCCAAATGTATCCACTGCAAGCGCATAAAGATAAAGAGAAATGTTATATATTAAATTATATGGGAGTAAAGTGAAAATGTAAAGCCTAATATACAACTGTTTTAATAATTATTTGGCTAATGCAGCCTTAGAACACCTTAGATAATATTGAAGTTACTTTCCTGATGTTTGATTTACATTTCCATTCACAATTTTATTTGAATTAGGAATTTGAAAATTGTTTCGATCCGTTTTCGTAATTTTTAGTATAGAAAAACAAAAACATTTCACTTTTAAGCATCAATTAAGAAACACTCAGTATCCGGTCAAACTTATATGTACAAAGAAATTTTATTAATATATGAATGTTTAGAATCTGTTTTGCACGAATTGTTTGAATACAGTACTCATCAATAGTAAAGTTGTCCACATATTTTGCCAAAGAATGACTGGGAATGGTAATATGGTAACTCTGATCATCTTTCAACCGGCAGTAAAATGATTGCCAAAGTGGGACGTCAGTTTTGTCTTTCCGGGATGTATAAATAGGCAACCACATCCGATCAGAATGTGGACGTTTATCACGATGCCTCGTGTAATAAAAAAGTACCACGCTTTCGGAACGTTAAGAACCCTTGCAACAACTCTTTGAGGATCCGTAGATGGCCTGTTTAGAGGCAAAATGTCTGTCCCAATCCAAAATACCCTCTTTTTCCAGTGGCCGTTCGAATTTCCCCTTCTTTCGGCATGTCCTAGTTAAGAAAACATTCCTATTGTGTTTATTGTTAATTTGTTCTCGTCCTAAACATGCTTGAAAGATTTCTCAATGGATGTTAAGCAAACATCAGGCAGTCATATTTCCAAGTGACAACCAGGCCTTAGCCTTGCTAGTATGGCTTATAATGGAAAGTACTCAGTATAAAAAATGGTGAAACGGAACAGATACGATTTCCTGTGTAATTTAAACGATCTGTCCATATCATCATTCACGAGGAAAAACCGTATGAGCCATGTTTCTGTTTTCAGAATCATGAACATTTTCAATACTTATTTCATCTGAAACAAACCCTTCCGTTTATTGAACTTTATTAACAATGCAAGGGTTAACGAAAAAATAATTAATTCTTATACTTATTAAAAGACAAATATTAAGATATCGTTTCTAAATCTTGCTGAACGTCGAGAAAGACTGGACATCGTGCGGAAGTTATTTCAAAATCATCGAGCATAGCATTCAATAATGCGAAACAAACATCATGAAACAAGGGGAAAAAAAGATTTATTATATTAAGATTGGTTTTCGAATTTTTTCATCATCCCTGCTCCTTAAACGTAATATGTGAGAAATGGATCATTACATGGCACTTTCAATATATGTCCTTGTGTTATCTCTCTTCCAGATTTGGGCACTTGACATGATACTTTGTGAAAATGAGACAGACTGCAAGACATAATAATACTTATGTCAGAAGATGCGACAAACGTTATACTTTCCTAAATTATTGACAACCGTATTGTGGATTTTATTTCGGCATACAACATGTTGTACACTCAAGACCACTACGAAACCAATTTATATTGAAACGGTAATTTTGATCTAACCAGCCCTTACCCTTTGCTTACAAGACTGTCCAATAAATAAAAAAAATATAGGGTTGTTTCGACATTTCGCTTTCAGTCTATTAGGTTCTGTCCAGTCTATGTTCAGATTGTGCATTGTCTTTTATTTACCTGTACGACAAACAACATACTGGATTGTCTGAAAGGATACCGAACAATACTGGATTGACTGCAAGCAGAATGTCTAAACAGTACTGAATATATAGCAACAAAATTTCAGAAAATAAAAATGAACTAATTAGAAACATGTTAAAATGATTCATTTGTAGACAAAAATGAATGATTGCTTACGGAAGATACAACTTATGTAGAAGTTGTGTGATTTCTATGACACTTACAATGTTTCATCTTCTCGCTTACGATTGCCAATCTTTCAAAAACACTGACATTCAAATAAACATTTCAACTTGCGGCTTACATTTAAAGTCCAACCCAAGGTCCGTCAGACATGTGTTAATTTCTAGTAATGAATGGTTTGGTCCAGTAAAATGTCATCACTTCTTGCACCAAATGACTAGCGTAGATGTAAGAATTTTATAAACTTTTAATGTAAATGATTGACAAAACACTGACTGAACCAGTAATGATTAAACAAATACTGGACAAAAAACACTGAGGTCCAAAAATCCTTCGGAACCTCTTCATTCATTATCTTATTATTACTTACAAACGAATCTTTCCTCGGGAGCACAGAACACAAATGGCAACAAAACCAGTAGAGCAAAGATGTACTTCATTGTTAAACTACAATACACTCAAATTATTGACATAATTTTTTTTCTTGTGTTTCATTGCTTTAATGACAGTGAGTGCTTCACATTAGTAACTTAGATTTGTAATAACATAAGCAACACGACGGGTGCCACATGTGGAGCAGGATCTGCCTACCCTTCCGGAGCACTTGAGATCACCCCCAGTTTTTGGTGGAGTTCGTGTTGCTTAGTCTTTGGTTTTCTGTGTTGTGTCATCTGTACTATTATTTCTCTGCTTGTCTTTTTATTTTTGGCCATGGCGTTGTCAGTTTGTTTTCGATCTATGAGTTTGACTGTCCCCCTGGTATCTTTAGTCCCTCTTTTAGATGCAACGGTTAAAGAAATATTAAATACCCTGATTTTAAATAAGATATATATTAAAGTTAAAACAAAGCTATAATGAGGCATTTTTTATTTTAATTTTGAAAAGAAAGATGTTACAAAAGGTTAATGCTAAACTGTAAGTGAATACATAACAATTTGTAAAGATTGGCGAGCCCGGCTCATTTTTCTGAATTAATCTTAATCAGGTCATTATGAAAGGTGTGCGCCTAAAAAACCTTGTAATCAAATAGGTATTTAAATTTATTAATAAAAAGATTAATTGTACTTTTTGAACGTATGTTGTCAAAAGATGTAGCTTAAAAAACAATTACAGATTTACAAAAAATAAAAAAAAACTTAGTGGCTGAGTAGAAGGTTGATGAACCAGGGTTATATCAAAGAAGTTCTCGTCCTTTTTCTAAAAAAGTTCACCGGAAGATACCAAGAACTTGTTGATAAATATTCCGTATCAACATGATGGTCTTGAAGTATAGATTCTAGGTACTGACGTTGTTTATTAGCTTAATTACGTTTTATAGTGTTTTTTTTTTATTTGTCTTTTTAAATTATTAACCTTTGCTGTTTAGTCCATTTTTGGTAATATCCTTTTAGCGTGTTCGGTACTTATGCATCCCGCCATTGTGTTGTTGTACTGTGGTAATTTGTTGTATTCTTGTCTTTCATTTTTCCTTATGAGCTTTGTTTATATGCCTTTTTGTTTTTCTTTGTTGACGTATTTGTTTGTTTTTTATAGCGATTAAGATTATAATATAATGTTGACTGCTGTTCCCCTATTTGTGACATTTGAACCCATTATTTCTGTTTGTTTTGTTCACACATTGTTGTCAATATAATGGAATTGTATCAGCCTGTCATACAAGTGTAAGGTTTAGCTAATCATATAACCAGGTTTATTCCACCATTTTCTACATAAGGAAATACCAGTACCATGTCAAGAAAATGACAGTTGTTTTCCATTCGTTTGACGTGTTTTAGCTTTTGATTTTTCAATTTGATAAGGGACTTTCCGATTTGAATTTTCCTTGAAGTTTGGTATTTTTGTTATTTAACTTTTTTCTTTAATTATTGAATTAGTCGAAACTAGAAAACAACAACGGTTTCCGTTCTTCAATTTGTTTTAATTTTATTTTTCTAGTAACGTTTTGATAAATTAAAAATTGACGATTGCTTTCATCAAATAATGAAAATGTTCAAGTGTTTTAGTAAACAAAAAAGAATAACAATTTCGCAGTATAGAAATACAATGAAAGGTTAACAAGTTATGTACTAGATATTTTGAAAAAGACAATAGTTTTGAGAATTGTTTGAACCTTTTAAAAAGGCAGACAGTAGGTGATATGCATTTTTTTATTTCTAGAATACGTAATTTTGTTCAGGCTCAATTTATATGAAACGAGACGATTGGTAGATTCAAACTTGTACATATACCACCATGCAGAACAACAGATTTAATTTCGTAAGACGAAATCTATTAAAACTTGCATTTTATTCGTTAGTTTCATTTAAATCCTATATCACACACTAGGTTACAACTAGAACTACATATTTTAAGCAAGTTGTTATTTCGATTTTTTTTCTTAATTTTGAAACAAGTTTCAATGTATTACCAAAATGAAAAAAAGATGTTGGTGTCAAGAAATTGATATACAAAAAAAACTAAGAAAATGTCTCATCATAAATTAGAATTAAAATTGCAAGAAAAAAACAAAAGTTTTGCCAAGAAATGGCATTTATGCTGAATACATTGTTATCAAATTATATTGACATGACATTGAATTGAATATTAACATAACTTTGAAACATTATATGTTTTGTATTATCTATTGAACATTCGAAAAAAAAGAAGTAACTTAAACCTTGAAATTAAAAGATACTGATACCCGGCTTATAACTTATTACAAACCAAACAGGCTTTGACCCTACATAATGCAACTGTCAACTCAAAACAATCTCAAATAAGCCCCAACTGTTAAAATACCTTACCGGTTTTGTTTTCCTCTCCTAGTGTATCTAAGTGACAACTTCGACCGGATATTCCATCCCTTTATATAATGCAGTAATTATCTATGCACTACAACATGGTAACGAACTGCATGAGAAAAGACATCTGTAAATGTAACTGGGACATTGTGTTCGTGATTGTGGAACATTTTTATATCGAAATAAGGATATGTAGTGTGATTGTCAATGGTGCAACTATCCAATATAGAGTTCCAATAAGTCGATGTGCTAGTCTACTTACCTTTAAACACAAGGGTGTCGAGTTAATAAGATCAATATTGTAATTTTTCTCTCAAATAATATTTCTGAGAGAGAAAAAAAAAAACACGAAATAGATACTACACTCATGGGACACTGCTTTGTTTGAAACTCGTTACTTTGTGTGTTTTAAGAAAAAAGCTTCTGATGAAAAAAATGATTAAACACCCATGTGTATTTATAGATTATTATATACAATTCGCAAAATGGTAATTTCTTAGGAATATATGAAAATTTAAAAAAGTAAAACAAAAACTCAAAGATAAATTCAAAAATGAAAAGCCCAAAAAAAAACTGACAAAATCAAACGTTAGGCTTTTTCAACCAACGTAGCGAATTGAAAGCAAGTCATATTCCAGATTTGGTACAGACATTTTCCGAAGCAAATGGCGGGTTGAACATGATCTAAAAACTAGCTACATGTAAAGCCCCTCTCATATGACAGTTGTTCATAGTTTCGTTATATTGACAAAACTGGTTAAGCAACCTATACAGACAAAAAAAGTTATGTGACATTAATTGGGATCCAGCTGCAAAAATCGTTTTAACATACAGACATACAACACAACTGACGAAACCATTCAAGCAAACATACTTATAATACTAAAGAAAGACGCCAACAAAAAAGTTTATGTGGTTGATACTTTATACAGTGTGTACAGTATATGGTCTAACCGTTGTCGATGTAGCACAACTGATGTAAAAACTAAATACACGGGTAAACAAAAATTGAAAACAACACTTTAAAAAGCTCTTGAGTCTAAATTGCACCTCTAGATCCACCTCCACGAGGAACGCCAAAAGTAAAAAATCCGATGGCTAAATGTATAAATACCTAGCATAAATGCAGTCACTTTAAGAGTCATACGGCCAAAAGGAACAGAATAGCGCAAACGTAATTATATAGGGAAAACTGTAAAGTGAATAAAAAGCTACACAACTTCAGTACCTAGAATCTATAACTCAAGACCGTCATCTATCATCTGTAAAGTAGACATTCAACATTGATCTTAACTATATAAAGGTCATTGGTCTTTCCGATGAACTATTTCATAACTAATTTGCTCAGACACCGATGACGTTTTACAAGTTCTGAATAGCAGCTGTAAGCTCTTGAATAACGTACGAGTTGGTATATTGCTGCTGTTGTGAGAAAAATTCATAATTTCAATTGAAATCGTCCTGTTTGTCAGAAATTTCTCTACTGAAATGACCGCAGTAGTCAAATTCGCGGTATGTTTCTAGAATTGAGAAGGATGAAGTTGATCTGTGATTTCTATAAGTGCTACTTCACGAAGATATATTAACGTGACCAACTCAGAAAAATTTGGATTTCTAATGGAAAGAACATCATCAATATACCTGTATCATGTGTATGAAAAATAAAAATGATCTAGCTTCTCCAATCTTCTTGTTTTTACAAGTGTCCGAAGTAACTCCGACTCATATGAAAACGTCGGAAAAGAGAGATACACAATTGGTTCCCACAGTAATGCCGACAACCTGTTAAAAATACTACCTTCAAATTTTATTCAAATGTTATTAATGATACAATTATGCATACTTACAATTTTTTCCAATGTAGCATGTTTTATTTTCGAGCGAATGATTAACAAAGTATGCCGAATTATGTTTCCAAACAATAAAGGAGTATGGCCACGAAGTGCCTATATTGGCCCTGTGAAATGACAAAAAATAAAATATAAACAAGGTGGATCCTTTATAGCTAAAACATATCTACCTATATCGTTGTTTGTTATAATGTTATAAAATCATATTTTCCTGACGTCATTAAAGTGACGTAACACCCGAAGTCGAACCAGAACGCTCAAAATATCAAAATTCTCGAAGAATTTCACACATCCTGGTTAAATTTCGCATTGCCCATAGGCCTCGACCAAAGTAATTCAAATCTCATTTTAACTGTTTGACAATTTTTAGCGTGGTTGAGGCCTGTGACCACATGAAAAATAAACTTTTGCTAACAAGCAAATCCGGATCCGACGATGTCATTTCCAAGGTACGATATATTCTGTGGCGAAATGTCTGATGAATCTACCACGAACTTATATTAAAATAGAAACAATATTTCTATAGTTCATCTTCTTTTTATAATATTTTGAATACATTTTATCATATTTCTGTTTTATTTTTTTGTGTGTATTGGAATTACATTGCGCATGTTTGTTGCTCTTCCCAACAGAAATATGGATGTAAAGGTTTTGCGACGGTGACATATTCGGTAATTTTAATTTTCTCTGACATATACTGTAGACCATTATGTGAATCTTTTCTTGCAACTGAAGTATTCTTTTCTAGAGGAATACGTATTGAGGTAAGTCAAAATTAATTTACAGATAAAAAAAGAAACAAAAATTAGAATAAAAAGTCTACTGTTTGTATTTTCCGTAGCTTCGTCAACTGCCGACGGAGTTTTTTTTCCCGTGCTTACAACAGTTTTTATTGAGACACATGACAAATTGGTTGAAAATAAAAATAGCTATTAATTGATAAATTATTTTAGAGTTAATTTCAACGTTATAACACACAAATAAAATTGTGTAATGTTATTATTAACCACGGTCGGCTTTGGCATTTTCTATGAAAAAAAATAGGGCAGGTTTTAATTAAAGACGATTTTTTTCTAAAACCGTCTTTTAAAACATCATTATTAATCACGAGAAAAAAGCAGTAATAAATCTTTACACATGTTAAAAACAAAAAAAAAAAAAAAAAATTCAAACAAATGCAGACGATTAGCTTCAGAAGTTCCATTCTATTACTTTATATACCACTTGTTTTCTTTCCTTGGAACGTATGATGACGTGGTGTAGTGGTTAGCGCGTTAGGCTTAAGAATACCATGACAGTGACAGAATGGGTTCGCCTCCCACATTTTTTTAAAAAGTTTTTTTTTAATTATTTTTTTGTATAATATCATAAAACCTAATGTTACATATGCTAAGTTTCCATTCCTGTGATTGCAATGTTTGAAGAGTTCCAACGATATTTTTTTTCTAGATTTACTGATTATTTGATAACAATATTTTGAAACGTTTCTATTTGGCATTTGAATTTTAAAGAAGAAAGTGTTATTCAGTAAATTATTTTTTATATAGAATTTGCCTTTCTGATGTGTTATAGAAATAAAACAAGTTAATTACCTGCATATTCAGTCCACCTATATAACTATCATATATGATATAATCTACAACATACTGGTTGTAGTGTAGCGGTCAGTGAGTTAGGACTGGAAACTAAATATTTGATTACACATAGTCTGTTCAAGTTCCATTCCTGAACACATGGTTTTATACACAATAATTAAAATAAGATGTATTATTTGTTGCTCTGTTTTATATTGTTGGGCTGTTGCTCATTATCACATGCATCTAATCTCCTGTTCTGGACTGCATTCGTGGTTCGTGTATTAAGATCCAATTCTTCATTTCACTTAGGAAGGCCCGGAAGCGGTCCAAAGTATTACCCTTGCGTTCTATGCAATAAAAGGACTAAACCACATGAAAGAAGATCAATCAATAAATCTGTAGCAAAGTACTTGAACAAGAAGTTTGTGATAACACCAACACAAGAAGATAAAATATGCAATACTTGTAGACACAAATACTATGTTTAGGAAACCAGACATTCCTCTGTTGTACAACATATATTATCTGACGATGAAGATTATGTTCCACCAGCAAAATGTAGATCTACTGTGTTATCAAGTCCACCATCAGTATCACTTTCAATACATTCAACATAAAAAAGCCATTAATACTGTTTAATATGCAAAAAGCCTGGTCCAAAACTAATTGTTGTTCCATCGCAAGCAAGATTTTCTACTTTTCTTAAAAAAAGAGGTTATAATTCCTGCAGGATGTCGCTGTTGTCCGGGACATTTGACGGAAGAAAAATTTACAGAAGATACAAGAAGTAAAATAAACTATACAAATGATAATGTAATCCTAAACAGATCTTCAATCATGGATCTTTTGAAGAAGTTAAGATCGTCAGCCATACAAAATGAACAATCAAGAATTGACTTTGATACAGATAAAGTGTTATCTGACTCTGACTTTATTTATTTAACCGGAATAAATACGAACAATTTTAATGATCTTCATTCCTACATCAAAAAGTTAGTAAGAAATACACCTACACGAATCACCAGAACCTCTTTTGGAATTTTCCTTTTTAAACTAAAATCTGGAATTTCAAATAAAGTGCTATCTACCATTTTCAACATATCAAGATCAAGTTTACGCCGAGCCATTTCATGTGTCAGACAGGCTTTAGTAAAAAATTTCGTACCTGAAAATTTGGGTTTTCAACACATCAGCCATGACGATGGCGTTAATCAGCATATAAGACCACTAGATCAGACTTTATTTGGGGATGGAACACACACACAGGCTATATTAGTGCTTGATGGCACCTACATCTATATTCAGAAAAGCGGAAATTTTTATTTTCAAAGATGGTCATATAGTTACACAAGGGACGACCTCTTGTTAAACCAATGGTAGTTGTTACTACTACAGGATACTTTGTGACTGTTCTGGGACCATACTTGGCCGACTCCAAAAATAATGATGCGGCAATCCTCAAACATATGTTTAACACAAATGTAGAAGATATCAAAGAATGGCTACAAGTCAATGATATATTTGTAGTTGACAGAGGATTCAGGGACTCATGGGAGCTTCTTGATGGTTCAGGGATAAAGGCACAGATGCCAAGCTTTTAAACGAAAGGCCAAA